ACATAAACGTGTTGCATAATGACAAATCATGAAATTACCTTACTTTATTGATGAGTGTTTCTAATTACAACTGAACATCTCATAAATAAGCCTAGCAAAAATCCACCGCACTCGACCCCATTCTTATGGCCAGCAAGGAACCGAACTTAACTGAGCAACTGAACTAGAGATGGCTAACGCCGGCGGCCTGCGTAGATTGTTGTTCAGGTCATCTCACCAGGCCCCTATAATGAGTTGGGAGCCAGAATAAGTTTCCACGCTGTGTAGAGATCAGAGTGCTGTGCGCCACCTTACCCGCATTTCAGGACTACTAAAGTTGGAGGCGAAATTCTCGCTTGCTAGTGGCATGTTGCGCGAAAATAGTTATTGCTGCGATCCTCGGGAGGTAATATTTAGCGACATACAATTCGCATTAGACAAGACGACCTTGCCACTATAGCTACTTAATTCATATAACCTCAGCGATAGCATGTTTACAGCCAGTGTGTGTGTGTGTCATTGGGGCTTTACGACACACTCAGCTCAGCCAGTAGCGCACGCGGGAAGGAGGGCATATCGGACCCCTCGGGACCTATGATTACGGGCCCCATTTGATGGCCAGAAGGGCACGAAAGGCCGGCCGGAAGTCGCATTAAGGGTCCCCGGCCCACAGGGCCGGGCACTCCAATGCCAGTCAGAGGGCCCTGCGGGCTGATCATGGCCCTTGAGTCAGAAAGAGCCTTTATGTTTGTCAGACTCCACCAGTAACACACAGTCTGCCCCGTGGCGGCATACACCTGAAGGCCCATTTCCAAGGCAGGGACAAAGCCGGAGCCAGTGATTTACATTGGTCGGGGCCCACAAGAGCCCCACAGCGCCAGCAGGCCCTGTTTTGGCAATGGGGCCCCAATTCGGCCATATACAGTGTTCGGGGAGCCTCGAATAGCATGGGAGGTCTAACGAGCCCAATAATCAAGAACCCGGCTGGAAGGTCTGAGGACACGAATGTCTGGTCGGAATCTTACTTAGGGGGCCCGGTCTGCGGGAATGGACGTTCAAATGTCAGTCAAAGGCCCTTTACGCCGATCGAGGACCCCTAAGTCAGCACGGGCTTATATGTCGGTCAGGCACCACCACTACCGCACAGCCGGTTGAGTGTCGGTATGGGCCTGAGTCCCCATTTCCCGTCAGTGGTCGGCCCTTGTATCTGTCAGAGGCCTACAGCTCCCAAGAGAGGGTCCTGTGCTCGCAAGAGCCCAAGGCGACCGAGGACAGTGTTCGATGAGATCCGAGGGGGGGCCCGGGCGGTGCACCGAAACCGACGATCGAGGGCTCGGTTGGGAGGAATAACGACCCGAAGGACTGGCTGTAGGTCGCATAAAGAATCGCGGCCCGTGAGGTCTTGACGTGAAATATCACTCCGTGGTCCTCCTGCATCGTTTGAGGATCCCTGAGACAATACAGGTGTCTAAATCGGCCAAAGATTATGAGCACCGAACGGTTGGCTCCCTGTGAATGCGATCTCCGTGGACCTATTTGCCAAGCAAATGCAAGGCCGATGGCCACGGTTTGCATTGGTCTAGGTTCCTGAAACAATGGATGGGGCCTCGTTGTCGGTCAGGGGCCCTTAGTTTGTCAAGGGCTTTGTTTGAGGAGGTCCGAAGAGGAACCGAAGGGTTCCTCTGGACCAAAGATCGGGGACCTGATTGGACACGGACCTGGCGCCCCATTAATGCTTAAGCCTGAGATGTCAGTCAAAGGACCCTCTCATTATGCTTTTCTAGCCCTATCATATATGGCCTCGACAAGGAGCCAAACGGCCAGCTCCATGTCCGTCTGGGCCCTTGCGGCTCATTTCCCAAGCAGGAACAATGCCTGGGCTTCGTGATTTGCAATGTTCGGGGTCACTGACACAAAGAGGGACTCCTTTGTCGGTCAGGAGTCACAGTGCCTAACAGAGAGCCTGTGGTGGCGAGTGGCCCCGAGTCGGCCTGAAGCGGCATTTTGAACGGGCCCGAAGAGGGGCCGAGGGGTCTCTCGAGCCCAAAAAATCAAGAGCCCGATTATAAGGCTGAAGGACCCGGGAGGGGGGGGGGGGGGAGGACTGGCTGAAGGCCATCTTAAGGACCATCACCCGTATAGCTGTGATCTTAAAGCCAGAGGGTCCACTGCACCGATTGGAGGACCCTTAAGAAGGGGCGCTCTTCTATTTTGACTAGGGATCACCAACGCCAAACAGTCGGCCCCTTATCGGTCTAAGCCTCGGGGCCCATTTCCCGCGCAGGAACAAGGCCGAGTCAATGACTTGCATTGGTCGGAGCCCCTGCAACAATGCGGGTCTCCTGTATTGTTCAGGGCGACAGCGCCTTGCAAGGTATCCTGTGTCAACAAAGGGCTTGGAGTCGGACAGGGGAAGATTTGCTTGACGGGAACGGGGACGGGACCCCGAATGAAAGGGGGTCTCTTGCGTTGGTCGGGGAAATCTGACAATGAGCCGAAACATGAGAACTTATGATGAATGTTTATCCGCCACTCAGGGCCTCCAGTACCGAACGGTGAAACCTCCAACACAATTCCACTTAGCCGTTAAGCCGAACTGAAGTCTACAGTTCAATTATTGGACCACCTGCGGCGAACAGGTATGATTGATGGCTGCCGCGCGCCCCAGAAGGCCCTTAAATTTCGACAGGGTACTCTGAATCTGTGTATGGGATATGTGTGACGTGACGCACGGCACGCGGGCGCCATCGACGCCAAGGCTGACAGTCAGAGGGGCTGTGTCTGCGTGGCCGACGCCGGCGTCAGCACGATCACTGAAACGCCGGGCTGGCTGCCGCGGCCGTTTCAGTTGTCTGGGCCAATTCAATTGTCAATTCAATTGCCTCCTTGTCAAAGAAACTATCTCAGATATGCATAGCTTTATCTGACGCTCTGCTGTTTTATCAGATTAAACGGTTTCCTACGCATTGGTTTTGCTGACAGCCATGGCAATACTTCGACCTGCCATAAGTCAGGGGCCTTACAACGTACATCTGACATTTGCACCTACAGATCCGCAACTAAATTGCCTACAGCTAGAGGTTTGGCGAGGCTGCATCCCGCCGTCCGGATTTGGTTTTATCCCAAAACACATTGGGGTTTAAATAAAGCCCCACTCGAGCGCGTGCACCGCCGCTGCCCCCGCATCGCTGCATCGCCACGTTGCGCATTTCCACTTGTTCTCATTCGTTGCGATTCCAAGTTACCCAAGTTCGTTAAGTGTGCTGCAACCGAAACTTGGATGCAAGCATCTTGTGAGGACCTTTCCATGCCACTGCTTTCACCTCTGTGGCATTTGTCTGCGTTTGATTTCGTCGCATTGCCGTCTGGACGTCCGTGGCAGGGCAGCCATATGCCCGGGCCCCCCTCGGTAGCCCCGCGTTCTAGCGGTCTGGAGAGCGATTTAGAGGCGGGCTCCACCAATCAGCGCGGCCTACGCTATTCTACCGAGTTCTACCAAGTCTCCTGGCGGGTCAAGGCGAGCGGCCGCTCCGGCTGTAGCCGACATACTTGGGTAGGGGCGGCATCCGACCTTACTGTGGGGGACCTGCTGTGCCAAGCGTAAGGCGCCTTCATCCCACCCATGCAACATTGATTACAGGGCGCTGCATGTGCGTATGCATACTTTTTGTCTTCTAAAAAACCGTTCCCTCAGTACACCTAATAGGCGTGTCACCACATCCTGTCCCGAAATGACTGGAGAAATATCACTACTCTGCCTCCTAGATCTCAGCAAGTTCTACGATGCTAGAGACCACTTAAGCCTCCTCCACAAGCTGGGCGCCCACGGTATGGGTACCTCTCGGTTTTCCGCCTACGTCCGTATCACATCAAAGCGTCGGTCCCACTGAGCGCACGCGTACTTGGAAAGTCTCCTCTGAACTACCACACAGCACAGGCGCACTCCAGGGATCCGCGCTAGCTCCCCTCCTCTTCAGCGAACGAAATCTGACATGGGAAGAAATATTATACTGGTGCTTTACCATGTCATATTTCAAATGGTTCATCTGGTGCGACTCGGTCTAATCTCGCCTTGAGGCGTCCGGTTCGGTACGGTCACGTCCCATTTGGTCCCATTTAGTCTCGTCCGGTTCCATACGATCCCGTCTCATCTCCTCTTTTCTCGTCCGGTCCCTTCTGGTCTGATCTGGTCCGTCCTATTCATTCCCATGTAGTCCCATCTGACTTTCCCATTGCCACATCTTTATGCACCTCTCATACCAGGCGTCAATTCCTGATGATTTTTTCAGTTTTAAATGATTTTGACTGTTGGCGTTTTTACACATCCGAGTTGGCCTTAACCTCTGTCGATGTTCAATCTCTTGACTTCCCGGTGGTCCAAACAGCCCCAAACTCTGTCGCTGACAATAAATTGTCGCCCAGTCAACCAGTGTGAGCAGTACCACGCCCAGTTCCATGCCAACAGCGGCTACAGTGCACAGGTGAGCGTCCTCCTAGCGTCCCACCACGAACACTGCTGACATCGCGGTACATTAACAGGATCAAGGAAATCAAGAGACCAAACCAATCTGGGGTTAGCGACTTCCTGTAGCGATAGCTCGCACGACCAATGGTTACAAGTGATGAGATAAAGCAGTAGAATAAAGAAGAGCATCGAAAATAATCACGCGGTAAAGAAATAAACTATTGCAAGTCGAATTACATAAAATTCGAAATCATGATTAAAATAAATCACGCAAGATATTCATTTTGGTGGACAGGGGGGGTGAGAGTGAGAGTGAGAGCAAGAGTAAGAGCAAGAGTAAAAGCAAGAGCAAGAGTGCGAGTGAGGGTGAGAGGAAACCTTTATTTACAAAATCACATTCCATTAGTCTGCATGCAGATGTAAGCTCGGGAAATAACAATGCAAGGTGCAATCGTTTCCACCACGCCATCCTGATCGCTGAGAGGGGGGGGGGGAGCAATTCATCACCCACGAGCTCCGTGATTCCAGATTTATAATGAAAAGCAACGGTACTTACCATTACAACCCAAGCGTTGATAGTGCTGCTCAAATGAAATTCGTCCTGAAACATTGCATACAATCAGCCGACACAAATATAACTTTTCGCCCCGCTAGATTGAGGGGCAACGGCTAGTTTGAATATATCCTAGCAAGGTTGTGAAGCACGTGAATCTCAGGACGCTTACGAAATATTTGATGTTTGTGACTGTTTAGCGCGTTGACAGCACAGCCCGTTCATGTTGTAATCCAGTGATGTCAGAAGTGACCAATTTCAAACAATTGTGCAAACGGATACCAATAAGGAAGCGCGAATTGCGTCTAAAAACTTACCGCATTGTTCCTGCACTCAACAACTGACCGCTCTCTGAAATTGTCAGTAGCGCATTCGCAAGTAAAATTTTCGGGCCATCTCATTGCCTTCTTTTTTATTAAGGTGTGTTTTGCATTGACCAGGATCGCTCAGGTTTTTGTCAACTATGCAAGGACCTAAGTAACTTTAGGTTCTGGTTACCACCCCCAAAACAAGGAATGGATAAAACCATCTGTTACGTCTGAAACACTGTCAAGGATTTAATAAGCTGTTTTACACATATTTAAGTAATGAGACGGATATACGACGAACAAAAAATGCATCGCTATCCAGAACTTGTGGCCTATACAGCACATACGTCTTCACAAACAGAGGCTCCCAATTTTGTTGTGCAACCAAGGAACGAGCGCCGTAAAATGCATTCTGCATTTTGGCACGCGTTCCCGCCATGCAGGCTCAAGACCCTCCATGAAGAATTTCTGTACACGATGGCTATTAGCTTCTGCACACAACGAACTATATAGCTATATAACGAAAATTAACAAAGATGGGAAGGAAAATACCAAATGTTTAAAGCTTTGATTTATCCCCAGTCGACCGACTCATTTCTCTTAAGTATTTAAATTACGTGTCAGCGATACTTTGTATGTTTCATAGATCTCTTAAGGATATGCTAATGATGAAGGAGTCGCAGGATATCTTCATAAACGGTATTTAAAATAAATATGCCATAATCGTGTAAGCTACAAAATTTGAGGAGCAATTCTCAAGCCTTAGATTCTGCCGGGCACTTCGTCAATAAAAAGGCGAATTACTGATACAATAGGGTAACAAAGACAAAATTAATAATGACTGGTCTATAACATGGCGGGGTGGCATATCATGGACCATCGAGAAGATCAAGGCCATGAAAAATAGAACTGTCAAGTCGTTCATATTTGGCGTTCGTGAGCACGTCATCCAGATATAATGGCGATCAATGTGTTCTTAATGCTGTGCAACGTACAATGTCGTAATCAAACAATGGCGTATTGGGAACCATATTCACTAGAATGAGAAATTGTGTTGTGCATTTTGACGTGCAGTTGGAAGTGTTGTGCAATTATGTAAAGGCTCAGCAATGCCACGACCACCTATTGAAAGACTGGATCACTAAAAGTGCGTGTTAGGGTGGCGATGCCGCATGGCCAATTTGGCAGCACCTCAGCGTCATGCAAACGTTCCATGGCCCTAACAACTAATGATTTATTGAGGAGCATGGTTACTGAGGATATATTTGTTATCTAGACCAGTCTCTTCCACTTAAAATTATATCAACAGTTATAAGTGAACATATTTCATCATATCTAATGCTCTCTTCAATATCTCCGCGTGTTGGACAATCCCTTCAAGACTGGCTCGTCTCGCGACTTCACTCGTAATCAGACTGGTAAGTCTGCTGACCTTATTCATATTCACAGACTGCAGAGAAAAGAGCGCGCGTGCGTGCCTGCTTGTGTGTATACGTCAACATACATCAGCACTTACGATTTCAAAGCTGCGCAGCATGACGGTTATATAAGTGACAACCGGTGACGATGGATATACGGGAAACGGCCGACTCGTCCGGTCATAGTCGCGCAATATCGCCTTCTTCACCTCCTCTTCTGCGTTCTCTGCAACAATGATGCGCAATAATGAATCGCATGCAGTGCAAAGGTGTCTTCATATAGTCCGCATGGCTTAGATGCTCCACATTTACACGGGGTTTTGAATCAAAAGAGCCATCTTGAAGACATTTCGTTGCTCTTCACAAGCCTGCAATTCAAAAGACTTAGACCCCTTTGGTTTCGAAACAACACTCCCGCTAAAATGGGAAAAGTATTTCGGGGATATATTTTTCAAAGTCACCTTGACATAAACGATGTCATAATAATAACATTCAAATCTTGCCATTCCATAAGCCTTGTGGCGATCAAGGCCAATAAAAATATAATTGTCGAGGCGTTCGCATCTGGCGTCGTGAGTTCGGTTTCCAAATATAACGACCGTCAATTGGTCCTCAATCATTATTGTGCAAGATACAATGATAATATCAAGCCACGACGTATTGTAAAGCATAGTAACTGTACAAAAATTGCGCCGTCTAGGAAAGTCTTTTCCACATAAAAATATGGCAATAGTTATAAGTGGGCTTATTTAATAATATCTGATGATGCCTTGCATATCTTCAAAAGTGAAACATACCTTTTAAGAAGCACTTTCTCAACACAGAGACCCGTACATTTTGGCGTGAAGTTGCGTAATCCAGTTTATCAAAGCAAAATATGCCATTTACTACTATAATTTACGACACTAAAAAGAACAGCAAATAAACAAACTGCGACACAAATATACACAAGCAATCTGGCATGGGTTTTTGATAGTAAAAAACTAAGATACGACTGAGCTTAATTTGAATAAGTTTCCGATGAATTTGGCAATGCAATTAACGCAGGTGTCCATGTTCAGATTATAGCACCGACCTTAGAATTGCTAATTGTTGAAAGACAAATTGCTGAAGCGGCAAGCCTAAGCAACATGTTGCAGCTGTAAAAGGCATTAAGGAGCAAATAACTTACATGTGAGCAAGACATATGACTGTTCGAGTGCTCGGGCAACAGGCCTTGGGTGGGGCATGCCAAGACCAAAAGATAGGTTAAACAACCATATCAAGAAGTTTCTTCGCAATAACATCCAAATACATCTCGCGTGAGATGATTTTTTGTGGGTATCGCAGCACTTGTCATAAATATAACGTATTTCATGTCAGCGGCATCACAGACATTTTCAAAGCGAGATGTATTCTACCCCATTGCCTGCGGTGCCTACCCAGGGTGACAACAAAATGGTGTGCAATAAGTATTAATAAAACAGCTTAACGAGACACAAGGATTTTGCTCTAAGATTGATTTCATTTTGATAAAGCAGCTGCATGCAGCTTGTGCTTTATACACCATAAGGCAGCAGCCAGCCCACGCAAAAATCACATGATGGAAGTCTGTTTCCAATGATGAGTCATGTAGGAAAAGTCTGATCTGTTCCTATTGACCATTGCATCAGGATGCTTATGATTGAATCGGTGAATGTCCTGGTTCTCAGTGTTCGATGGCAACTCACGTTTATTTCACATGTTCTCTAAAGCTCTGAAAGCTGAGGTCTAACCATACGCCCAATATATACTTAGTAAGCACGTGCATTACCATTAGCACATGTACTAAACACATGCACATGCATTAAGCACAATAAGCACATGCATTACACATGTACTCCCAATTCAGCTCGTAGTTCTATACGAATCTGCACAAAGTCACACACACCTACAACATGCGTTGCTCTGTTTATTACACAGCACGCCAGTGTCCTAGAATTGCCGATTTTGGGTGTAAAGCAACACCCTATGAGGAGGAATTTTTCACTCCTTTTCCCCATATTTTATGTGAATTTTTCACTCCTGCCTGACATTGTCTAATCGCACATGCCAAACCCCTATTTCCCTTTCTGAGGTCTTCAGATGTCATCCAAAACCGAGCTCACTTGAAACCACCAAACATAAACGAGGCTCCACAGAACCTGGACACCTATGGCTATGTCCTGCCTCACCTACATCTGAATCATGTCTATGTATGCACAGAGCAAGGGCGCCAGGTACCTCCAAGCCCAAGAACCCCAGCGATCCCAGCCGCTTGCACGCATTAAGTTTGGTTTGTTTACAAATACATCACGATCGGCAGCTGTGTGCCAAATGCAAGGTTTTCCCGCATTCCTATTTTTTGATCTCACCACCACACCCCGAAAGCAGAGCCTGGCGCAAACGCCAGCAAGGCCTGGTAGAGAATTTTATTCCACGTATTTCTTTTTTTGCCGAGGAAACTTGACCACTAAATTGCATCACTCCCGAAATGCAGGGGTGAAGAGTTCAAGAAAGGTCTTCTAAATTAAACTCACAAGATGAATATCACGATTTGAGCACTTAAATTAACAGATTTTAAGTCAAATTAGCTGATAACAAAATTCTGCGAGAAAAGTACCAGTCTTTATATTTATTTAGCTACTTTTGTTTTTCTTGGTGTCATGCGGGTGTGATGCCACTTTATTCTTCCTTCCTTTTCGATTGCCTTTAGAGGTACCATCTGCTGCTTAAAATGTTGACCAATTTCTCTGCAAGATGTTCCAACTGCAAACTCGTACGTATTTCATACATAAACTGGATTAATTCGCCAGCCGCCCAAACGAGTTTGATATGCACCCAAGCGTGAGCAATTCACAGGGAATGAAGGGGACAATTTGAAGCACGGAGCTTATTTTTACCGCCATTTTTGCCCTCTTAAATCTTCGATTAGCCGTTTTCTTGGTTCATGGCGGTGCTCAGCAATGATAAATCTAAGCCTTTCGAGTGTCTGATTTACCAGGTTACCTGGCAAGGCTTTCCTAATGCTGCCATACAGAGCATTGAGACAAACCTGACGCAGCTAATACAGAAGTGTTTGATGGCGAAATTCTGCCCTCCGGAGATGTTTATCATGTACACCTCTTACTTGTTTCGCATTTTAATCTCGTAGGTTGGTGGGCATGACTGATATTTATATTGGGGGGGGGGGGGAGGGGGTGTGAATGGGATGACTCCGTCTGCCAGCAGACCATGCAAAAGGTGCTGACTTTTTTTTGGGGGGGGGGAGGAGGAAGAAGCCAGTAAGTTTCCTGTGGACCAAGTAATTGCTTACCTTACCTGCTTTCAGTAGATGATAAGTAACTAGAGTTAGCCGTTTTCTGTTTTAGCCCATCGAGTTTTGTCATAAGGCAAATATTGATGCCGCAAGGCATGCAATGGGCTTATTTTTTCCACATGCTTGGTTATTTGCCCCAAATTTCTTAAAATGGTCCCTCATGACTCCTTTAACCGGATGTTTTCTTTAGTTGTCATGATTTGCTGACCGGCAAATGACTGTACTGTATATATGCGCTATATTTTTAACAAAGGGATACTCTAAGCTGCATAGCAATTACAATATGAGTTAAATATTAGTATGTAATAAATAGTCAGGCCATCCCATGTAAAATGTGAAGCTAACACCTCAAACTTTGTCATTAAATATGAATAAACAAACCTAAATGGATGCATCTGCTGCAGCTGAAAAGGCAATGAGCAATACTGGCATGGTCCTCTAAAAGGTGTGTTACTTTTGGAGAAGAGAGATTGTTTTGTGGAGCATACCCATGATTACCCTTGACATAGGTTCATCATGGCAATCAAAATAAGTTGTTCAAAGTGATTTTAAGTGTTTTGAATTGTGTTGTCAACTTTGTCTGATGTCAACAAGCATACACAAATGAACTGAATTAAAATGCAAGTTGAAACCAGCCAAAAACTAGCTTTAGGTATCATGCTTTTATCACAAGTGCTGCTGTCAACAGATAGTTGAGCTGAGATTATGTTCATCATATGGGCTACTCTAAGTTAGGTTAAGTTGGTCAAGTGCATGGCAATTGGCAATAGGAATTGTGCAAGAATTAGTATCTCACAGCTGCTGCTGTGACACAAACAGGTCATACAGGATGAGATGATGTAAGGCCTCTTTAGGTTTAGGCATAGGCTCCTTTCATAGAAATGAGCATTGGTATTTTCCAGAGTCCAGAGTCCAGAGGTTTTTTGGGTTGAGTGTTTTGTACTTGTTGAATTTTCCGTTGTTATTTTGTTATCGAATTTCTTGCTTTGTTGTGTTTTAAAAGTGCTATGGAAGGAATTGAAAAGTGCAGCATCAAATTATTGGTGTAATCATTTGTTACGCTCGTAATACTGTCATGAAATTACTATGCTTTAACGCGCGCCCGGTTGGCCGGCTAGATACCCTTCGCTCGGGTGGGGGTCAATTTGACCCCTCCCCCCTCTGAGATCTCGGAAACTAAGAAAGCTAGAGACACCAAATTGACAGGGTGTCTTGACCTATACGAGAACCTCACTTAGCTCAACGTTTCAGCTTCCTAGGTGTCTGACCTTCATGTCAAAAAAGGTCAAACAAGGTCAAATTCCAGGTTGGTATCCAAAGCACCCCAGAACCTAGGCAACTGTCCCTAAGCAAAAGGTCGCAAGCCCATTTGAGGTCATTGACCTTGTTTAACCCTTTGAACGCCATGGTGACGAAAATGATACATGACTGCTATGAGTTTTGCATTTGAATGAGCGATAAAGATAACGCTAGGCAGTATGTTCTTAAGACAAAAGGTTCGACCTGGGTCATCTTAGGTCAATGGCCTGGTCTGACCTCTAAGGAGTCCAATGAAGATGCATAATGTGGTTCCTGCTGTCAGTAAATTCGAAATGAACACCAGAAACTATCCCATACAGCAAGCCCTAAAGTAATAAATCAGGTTGGTTTTGACCTTGGTCTGACCTTCATACCTGACCTTTGGTCAACGTAATTTGCTCATTCAATATTTGTTGTGCCTAAGAAAGCATCTCAGAGATGTATGTCTGCGTCAAACACTCCGTTGTTGTATCAGATTGAACGATTCCCTAGAAATTGCCTCCGCTGAAACCATGAGGCTGACTTTGACCTATCATAGGTCAGCGACCTTACAAGGCACATCTCAAATTTGTATGTCAAACGATACGCTATGCAATTTTCTACAGCTCTGC